AATATATTGGAGCAACAAAAATACATAAGTATCATGAATTGATAGAAGGCTAAATCAGAAAAAACTGATAAAATGCTACAATATAATATCTTAACATTAATTGATTATAATCTATAAATATTAATCTCTAATGGTAATAATATTTATAGGATAAAAAATTATAAAGATTTATGTATGTAGAACTATTAAAAAAAATTTAGAGATATCATTCAAAAGAATCAAGCGATTTTTATTTCAAATGGAATTCAAAATATCCATGAATCACTTCAATTAACACTAACATAAGTTATATTTATCAAAAAAACACCGACTGAATACCCCTGAAGAATATATTGAACAACTTTGTTTTAATCAAAAAAACATTCTTCATGAAAGATAAAAGAAAAATTACCATATCATGACTCTGCGTAAGCAAAAAATATAAAATCACCCTTTTTCATTTTCTTATATAGTATCATGATCCTGCGTGTGACTTTATTTAGGGGTATGACTACTAACGAATAATCAATTCTTAAAGATACGATTAAAGATAATGATGTAATAGCACTATTAGAATTGAAGATTTCTAAATATGAAGGTAGTATATTTCATTACTAAAATTCTTATTAAAGGTCACTAAATATAAAATTCACCTTATATCTGTCTTAAATTTATAGAGAAGATATACATGTCATCGTAAATTGCGTCAGTAATATATATCAATCCAAATATACAACTTAGTGAAAAAATAAGAGATTAGTAAGCAAACCAAGCAAACATCCATATAACAATATAAAAAAAATTACATTTTAAAGCTAATATGCATCGTTCTTTTAGAGTAAGCTGCCAAGACAAAAGCATCTCCATTAAGGCTCTTTATAAATGCATCAAAAATTTAAATTACTAATATATAAAACCATTATAATATTCAAAAGAGGTATCATATTAGAAAACCTACTCTAAAATTCATACAATTAAACCTAAGAATAATTTACCAATATATAGACACACTATCACACCTTTAAGGTAATGGTAGCTACCATTTATAATAGAGTTGAGCGATGGTTCTATATTTACAAATGCTCCAACAAGAAAGTAGATAGAGATGTTAGTAATAAGTGTCCAGATGATAAATGTTGTAGAATAGCCGATGATGTAGTACCAAGATTAAGTGATATATCTTCTTCATGAAATAAATATATCAACATTAAATATTAATATTATAATTAAAGCAAATTGACAATGAAAAAAATAATGTATTTAGTTCAGATCCTCATGAAAAATGATACATACAGAGCAAATGTAACATTATGACATAGCAGAAATTCTTATTGGATGCACAACAAAAGAATTCATTGCAGAGAAAAAAGATGTAGTTCCTAACCTTATTTAAGTAATAAATTAAAAGCACAAAAATTTTCATATATATGAATAATATTTATTCTTATTAAAATAGGAAAAAATCAAAGTCCGTATTATCAGAAGTTTGTGTTGAACATAAGAAATACATTCTACTTCTTTATGAATTTAGACGAAAAGACAAAAGATAAATGAGCTTAAAGAAAGATAACATGCTCCAGTCTCATATCATAATCGATGTAGCCGATGAAGACACTACTCTAGAATTACCTAGGAAAAAGATAAAGATGAAAAAGGATTGATCTCGACTCAATAAAAAATAAAATAGAAGCAACAAAAGATAATGTTTTGTGAATTGTTATAGAATATTTTTTTGTAAAATTAGGAATCTTTAGAAGGGATATCATAAACTATTTTTAGTGTTTTCATATGCATATGTGGATGCTTTTATCATATAAAAGTGTACTAGGGTTAGCATTAAACTTTAGTTTATGAATTTTTCATTAACTATTTTCTGTCATTTTAGCCCACTTTAAATCAATCATCTTGACTTGTTGGCTTTATTATTCATCTTCCTTTTATAATGTTACTAGGTTTTATGTACGTGCAATGCACGTGGTCAAATATCATGATTAAGTATATTTGGTTTATTTCCTTACTAAAACTTGTTCCTCGGTTCCACTTTTGATGGTTTTTTGCTTACTTATATCTCTAAACTTTAGCATTGTGATTATTTATTTTTCTTTAATATTCGTTTAAATGAACTACATCCAATTTAACTTTTTATATTGATAATTGAATTGACAGGAAATAAATCCGAAATTAATTTGAATTATCATGTCATTGATACCAACATGAAACCAAGCTTGACCTGAAAAATATAGCATTGTAAAAGTGAAAAGGAAAATGATAGGGGCACACCCCCAACCACAACTCTAACTACACCCCCTTTCTTATTTGCTATAGTGCGCCGGGCCCCACATGAGATTTTAAATTTTTAAAATCCCATGTGGGGCCCGGTGCACTGTAGCAAATGTGAGAGAGTGTGTGGTTGGAGTTATGGTTGAGGGTGAGCCCCTAGTGCCACCCAAGTGAAAAACACTTCAAAAAATAGCGTTCTAAAAGGAAAATGAATAGCTAAAGCTCATAAGACAAGATGATTGGTTAAAAGTGGGCTAAACGACACAAAATATAATATGATGTTTGTTCCTAATCCTTGATAGACTTTAAAAAACTTATAAAATAAAGATTAATACTAAATTTAGTATATTTTTATATAATGAAAACATCCACATAAACATATAAAAGTACTAAAAAGTTTATGAAAATCCCTTCCAAAAATTCCTAATTTACTCCAAAAACCTATTCTATAAAATATTCAGAAAATAGTGTCTTTCATTCCTTCTGTTTTATTTTTTATTGAGACGTTATCAATCCTTCTCCACCTCTATCTTTTTTGATAAAAATAGACTACTTTTAGATGCCAAAGAAGTTAGTAAAACCTTAAAATAAAAGTTAAATTTACATATCTTAATGAAAGAATATCAAACAACTACTCTTTTAAAACCTTAAAATAAAAGTTAAATTTACATATCTTAATGAAAGAATATCAAACAACTACTCTTTTTTTTTGCTATGTTTTGAAATTTTAGTCGCTTTTTCGTGATTTTGAATTTTTAAGGGTGTGTTTTGCAAATTTTGAAACTTTGAGAGTGTTTTTTAAAATTTTTAATTTTAAGTTGAGTGCTTGTAATTTTTATATTTCATATGTTGGTAGTAAGTTTTTTAATGTCAAAATATTTCTTGCAACTCTGAATTTTAAGGGTATTTTTTGTAATTACTAAAACTTTAGATTGTTTGTTGCAAAATTTAAATTTTTAGCGGTCTGTTGATAATTTGAGATTTGATATGTATTGGTTATAAGTTATTAGATTTTAGGGTTTTGTGCGTTTTTTTATTTTCGAAAGAGTTTTTCAGAATTTTTATAACTTTGAGGTTATTTTTTATAAATTTTAGATTTTTAGTGTCTGATAGTAATTCCTTGAATTCGTCTTTGTTGTTCGTAAGTTTTGAAATTTCAAAATTTCATAGTGTTTTTTTTATTATTTGAACTTTTGAGGGTGTTTTTATAGTTTTTAAAATATTGAGGGTTTCATGTTTATTGTTTTAAGTTTTGAAATGTCTGGATATTTTGTGTAATTTTATACTTTTAAGGGGGTGTTTTGTGCAATTTTTGAAACTTTTTAGGGTTTTTTTTACAATCTTCATATATTATAGCTTATTATTTTTTAAATTATTGACCTATAAGTAGTTCACATAGGATTAGGAAGGGATATAATTATGATTATAATAAATTAAATTTAAATAAAATATTCAAATAGTCCAGGGTAATATTGACCATGGAAAGATTTTTCCGAACTCGTATAATTTTGAGATTTGATATGTATTGGTTATAAGTTATTAAATTTTAGGGTTTTCTGTGTTTTTTAATTTTCAAATGAGTTTTCAGAATATTTATAACTTTGAGGTTATTTTTTACAAATATTAGATTTTTAGTGTCTAATAGTAATTCCTTGAATTCGTCTTTGTTGTTCGCAAGTTTTGAATTTTCAGAATTTCATAGTGCTTTGTTATTATTTGAACTTTTGAGGGTGTTTTATAGTTTTTAAAATATTGAGAGTTTCATGTTTGTTGTTTTAATTTTTTAAACGTCTGGATATTTTGTGTAATTTTATACTTTTAAGGATGTTTTGTGTAATTTTTGAAACTTTTTGGGTTTTTTTGCAATCTTTATATATTATAGCTTATTAATCTTTAAATTATTAACCTGTAAGTAGTTCGCATAGGATTAGGATAGGATATAATTATGATTATAATAAATTAAAATTTAAATAAAATATTCAAATAGTCAAGGGTAATATTGACCATAGAAAGGTTTTTCCGAACTCGTACTTTTAAAGGGAGTATGATTTTTTCAAGTTTTTCAATTTTATAACACTGTACTTCCTCAGGTCAAGCTCGGTTTCATGCCGATCCAAATGAAATGAAAAATTAAATTGGTTTTAGATTATATTTATCTCTTAACAATTCAACTATTAACATAAAAATTTAAATTGGATGTAGCATATTCAAATAAACATCAAATAAATAAATAATCAAAGTATAATCGAGGAACAAATTTAGTAAGAAAATAAACCAAAAATACTTAATCAAAGTGGGCAAAAATTATCAAAGAGTAACGGAGGAATAAATTTTAGTAAGAAAATAAACAAAAAATACATAATCATAATATTTAACAACGTGCTTTGCACGTGCATAAAATCTAGTACCATAGTAAAAGATTCTGTCTTGCAAACAGTGAACATGGGTCAACACTGGGTCATCAAAGTGAAAATAATAAAAATAACACTACAGGCACACCCTTAGCCACACTCTCAGCCACACCCCCTCACCTGCTACAGTGCAGGGGGCCCCACCTGAGATTTTTTAAAAAATCTCAGGTGGGGCCCCCTACACTGTAGCAGGTGAGGGGGTGTGGCTGAGAGTGTGGCTAAGGGTGTGCCTGTAGTGCCACTCCAGTAATAAGTCTGCGAGGAGAAGAAAATGTTTGATTAAATATTTTATCTGACCAAGTTGGCGGCCCAACAGCCCATTATCAATTTAAACAACCTCCCGGAACCCTAGTTTCAAGCGCGGCAGTTGACACCCTTTTCAAACCCAACAATACATCAGTCCTCCGGAAAAACCCTAAAAATCCCAAACGAAGGAAAAAAAAAATGGCGAGCTTTCCTCAACCTGGATCGGTTACTATCTGCGAGATCAATCGCGATTTCAGTACAAAAATCTCTCTTATTTTTCATATTCTTCTTGTTTTTTTACTATTATTCTTCAGCAATTAATCAAATTTGCTTACTTTGCCCTCTTTGATGTTGTTTAGTTACAGCGGATAGCCTCTCAGATGATCGAGCGAAGGAATCGTATGCCAAAGTTCTCGTACGATCTTTTCTCTCACAATCAATTTCATTTGGGTTTTTTTTTTTAAATTTGTTGATGATTGAAATGTGAGATGGCGTCGTTTTATTTTAAAAATAGGGATTTGTATTCAGCCCTATTCCGTTCCGATCAGAACAGCTGCTGCCTGATTTGGAGCCGGGAGCTGTGTCTGATCACGAGCAGAATAATGAGGCTGTTTCGAGAAATGGATTCGCTGCGGTGAAAGAGAAGTTGATCGATTCGTTTAAGTGCATGTTCTTTCCCGGGAAAGTAAGCTGGTCTTTTCCCACTGCTTTTGGATTAGCTGCACTGTTTTTCAGTTGTTGTTTATTGATGCTATCACTTTATTTTAACAATTGCTTGTAGAATCGAATTCCTTTGGGTGTACTGTTAATTATTCATTTCAGTTATATTCAATGTTAATTAGATAAACAGTAGTCTTGTCTAATTTGCGGTATGATTTATGCTAGAGGAGACCCTAACCAAATTTATTAATTTGCTGATCAGTGGGTGACGAAATTGAGCATTGATTTTGACTACGCATCAATGTTGAAAATCAATGTTGAAAAGGTATAGTATATGGAAGGCCTGAAAGATTGACCTAAATCAAGCAATCATGTACTTGGAGATGAAGTTGAATCTTGGGATTAGTACATCCAGCAAGAAGTTCTGAACTTTTGTAAACATTGCTGAAAACTTCACATATTTAGGGGATGGTCACAAAGGTGAAGATCTCATAAAAAATGCTTTAGAGGGTGTATGTGTT